CACACACTCCCCCATAAGACTATCCTCCCTCTCCCAGCTCTTCTCAACTAGGATTCTTCCTGGAGACATGTCCCTACGTCTGGGTCTTACACGCTTGATAAAACGGGGACTCTGGCCCATCTAGGCCTCAGCGCCGAGCCCGGGGCGGCGACACTCCTGCTCCGGAAGCTCCCCTCCTCCTGAGGGATCGGAGGCCATCCATCACTGTAATCATAACCTTCCACCCGTGGAGTTTCGTCACGTCCAAAGGCCTGAGCAAACCTCGTCTTATTTACTACCGTTTATCTGATAGGCAAGTCAGGATTTATTGTTCACTCATTACAGATGTTAAGTGGCTTACCTAGGGGCGCCTGGGTGGCTCAGTCGTTAGGCATCTGCCTTTGGCTCAGGTCATGATCCCAGGATCCTGGGATTGGGCCCCGCGTCGGGCTCCCTCCTCAGCGGGAAGCCTGCTTCTCCTTCTCCCACTCCCCCTGCTTGTGTTCCTTCTCTCTCTGTGTCTCCCTCTGTCAAATAAATAAAAATAAAATCTTTAAAAAAAAAAGTGGCTTACCTAACAGCTGACATTCTGTTGACGGCTCACCATTTGCCAGGCCCAGCACTGGGCTAAGGCAGCATTTGCACCGTCTCATTCAAGCTCACAACTAACTGCTGGGAGAGACGGTATTATTTCCATTTAGCAGTTGAGGAAAATGGAGTCTTAGGTTATTTAACTTGCCTAAAGTCAATTTTTTTTTAAGAGAGGGAGAGGGAGAGAAAGAATCTTAAGTAGGTTCCATGTCCAACGTGGAGCCTGATGTGGGGCTTGATCTCATGACCATGAGATCATGACCTGAGCCAAAATCAAGAGTTGGGACACTTAACCGACTGAGCCACCCACCACCCAGGTGGCCCTAGTCAAATCTTTTTAAGTAGTAGAGACAAAACTTACCCAATATCTTCAGAACATGTTCTGAGAGACTAACGCATTCTTTTGGCTTTTGTTGTACCAGGGACTATCACACGAGGCAGAGAACACATTCAGAGGACTTGACTTCTGCAGCCCTGGAGTGGGGAGGGGAGTGTCTCAGAGAACTGAGGCACTAAAGCACATAGATGGTGGCTCTGAGCCCAGCATATGCAGGTGCTAACGAACAGCTGATGTACCAAAGTTTTAAAATGTTCATTCTGTTAGATAAGGAGGAAACCTGCAAAATGATTTCAATTGACTTTTATTTAGAGAAACCTAATCTTGCTTGGGAGTCCAGAGATTATGGGAGACAACTGGTGGGGGACAGAGGGGGGGTGAAGATTTAATTTAGAGGCTTAACTGGATTTTAAGTATTTTGTGAGTCAGAGTGAACTCCTACATCTGAGGTTCTGACACCAAACCTTTACATTAGGACAAACACGATGACTAGATTATCCAATTGGTTCTTCTGTGTCATCATCAGCTCTGATTTAGGATCCATCAATTACTTACAACTGAGTTTCCTCTAGTCAGCTAGCAACCTGCATGCAAATAAGGACTCTTTCCTGTCTTTGGATTTATTTAAACATATAAGTCAAGTGAGAATATGTTTCTTAACATAAAAAATCTTTATTGCTATTTCAGCTTAAGAGGCGAAAATATTTATTCTTGCCTTAACTCATAGCTTCATAATGTCATGGAATGTGGTTTCATTTGTTATCTTCCTCTAAAGCAAGCAAAAAAAAAAAGGGGGGGGGAGGGGGCAAGAAAAATCCTAAAGGTACTTTTGGTTAAGAAACTAATTCTATATACAAGTTAGAGAAATTACAGTTTCATGCTAAAATATCTATAAAATAACAGGTATTCCATTTTAAAACAAAGCCATGAAAAAGATATTCCATTTTATTTTATTTATTATTATTGTTATCATTATTTTTTACAAACAATAGATTTGCTGCAACATGCTCTGGCTCATATTATTGAATTAAAAAATTTAACACATTTCAAAAATATCAAAAATACACTATAATGAGTCTTAGGACTACGATACAACAATGATTGCACAAAACCATAAGATATGAACTCACTGTCTGGATGACATCCACTGGCAACAGTGAGAGAAAACCCTATAGCATCTGGGAGAAGTGCGTGAAATTTAGAATACAAGGAGCTTAGGTGTGACTTAATGATCACCAAATTAAAGAAACAGCAGGATTTACTGTAGCTGCTTTCCTCAATCTAGGAAGTGCTTACCCAACTATGGGGTAAGAGTCACTAACTGGAGAGAAAGATGAACTTGCCTCCGAGACAGGGAGTCTGAAAAGGCCCCACCCAGAGGGAAGTAAAAAGTGACAGGAAGCAGTTCTCTAGTGATGCTGCAGGCATCACTGAATGGCTTGGAGACTAATTATTTAATAAATGGTACATTTATCCATAACAGCCAAATGCTCCCTTATGGAGGTGTCTTCATTAATAATTATTGAGTAGATAGAGAAGGTGAGCCTGTGGCTTCCAAGTACCTGCTTTTGCTGAAGGTCTGCATGGGAAGAAGAGCAACGTTTGATATTCAGTAGCTAAACCCAACCCGGCTGGCTCCACCTTCCGGAACATAGCACGGGCTACAGACAACTCTAATAGCACCCAATGATTACCAAGCTGCTTGTGCTGGCTCTTCCATACACCAGGAAAATGAATTCGCCAGCTTATTGCACACATACACTCTACAGCAGTATAATAATAACGCCCTCAGTTGTATGAGGAGTGCCAATTCAGTGACTCTCCGGTAGACTTGTAATGACATAGCGGCATTCAAACTTTTTATTTGGATAAAAATAAGAATACAATGGCTGCCAAGACTCGTGTATTTTTCTTTCTTCCATGGGACTCCTGAACTGCTCCCAGAAGCAGGAGTGATACTCTTTCACAAATTCTCTTACAGTTCTCTATTAAATGGGAGGTACACACAGAGACCTGAGAATCACGCAGAGGCCAGAATCTCTGGGCTAGAGATCAACGGTACTCTGCCCACTGGGGGAAACACATCCTCTGGGTAAAGTCCTGGGAAGCAGATTACATTCACCTGGAGAGAGATTCCTGGATTTCACCACCTGACAACCTAATCAGATCACAGGACTGTAAATGACCTCACAGGTCAAGAGTTCTGTATGCTATTTTTGGTAATGGACTATGGCCTTTTTTACCCTCTATTTTAATACAGAGCAATTATAGAGGGAAATGAATGAAAGGAAGTTACAGAAAAGAGTTAGTTTGGTACTAACTACATGAAAGCCTATATGAAAGGTTTCCAGTGCAACCTAGTGCTTCCTGAAAATAAATCTACCATGTAAAAGAACATTTGGAATTTTAGAGTTCTTCTGATGAAAAAGCAAATACTTTTGGTAAAGTCATTTCAGAACCGGGTTTCATGGTGGTTCCAATAAGTAGAGTGGGAAACAAAGACAAGAAAAGGGCTCACAGAGATAAACGACTATTTTTAAGAAACTATACTATGAAAGTGGTATATTCCCAAAGTAACTTTCTTCTGCAGACAGCATCAGTGTTGTGTAACTCAAAGATTCTGCTGTCCGGAAGCAAGACGTTTCACATCACCCATCACTAATATTTTGGGGTTTTTCATTTTCATTTCTCCTTCATTCCCCCCTCATTTCCCCATATAAAAATAGGGCAGCAACACAATTTGTTCCCCTTTTTCTAATGGCATCTAAACTTTGTATGAACTATTATATTCCCCGCTTCAAATCAAGACCTGAGTTCTAAAACTTTTTAGTAGCTGACCAATAGTTTGATACAGAGAAGTCAAGTTTTCCTGACAATATGGAGACTCAAACTCAGATTCTTGAGGGGTTGAACTTCAGACGGCCACTGGACTGGTAATGGAATCCCCAAGAGTGAGCCCCACTGACACACACACACACACACACACACACACACACACACACGGATGTGGGGGCCGCTGAGGAGATGAGGACACATAACCATGTGAAGACAGACCATCCGGTTTTCTACTATTGCTTTAACAAAAACTTCAAAAACCCCCTCAAAGATATAAATAGATGGACAGACAGATCTATATATATCTCAACCCTATCTTTAACATTTTGTTTCTCATACAGCAAATTCATGGTTCCACACTATTTTTTTAATTGTGAAAGTATTCTAAAAATTCAAAGCACATTCCCCATTGGGTAAAATCAAGCAATGTCAAAATTTTATAGGAGTTAAGTAGGAATTAGTTTCCTAAGTAAATCTTGTAATGGAAAAGGCAACAGAACAGAAACATGGAAGGAACTGTATTTTGCTAGGGTTATGTGGAAAGTGCAAAAAAACAGTAAACCAGGTTTTCTGTAAGCTTAGGATTTTCTCAATTAAGTCTTTCTTCCATTAGTAATTGAGCCCAGTACTCTGAAACCATGTGAGGTGGATAAGCAGTTTTCAGAAGAGTACTCTGTTCAACATTAAAGATGTGAACTCAACTCATTTCCGACGCTTTAGAAAACCATCCCTCTGCTCTAGAGTAAGAAAAGGAACAGGTCTAACCCATGAGCTCCGTTCATCCATCTGCTCTCATTCAGCCTCAGTCCGTGCAGAGTCACCTGCTACACTTGGATGCGAGCAGCATCAGCCTTGGCCCTATACATGAGGAGGCTGGCTGCCAACTCCATCATATGTCATGGGAAGAGGCCAGTCCCCAAATACTTCTCTTGTGATCTGCGGGGCAATTCCTCGCAGGTGTCACATTTGTCAAGGAGTTATTCTCTTTCTCTGATTGGGGGAGAAGCAGTCTTAGTCCTCTCTCCTTCCCCATCTTCATCCCCAAAGATCCTACTCCCCCAGGTTTCTCAGGAGCTTTCCCAGTCTGCCCTCCAACAGTTCAAAGATTTCCCAGGGCCCTCCCTAGTACCCTCACAGAATGCTCCAACACCTGATGATCATTCTGTCTACAGACAAAGGTGCTGGGCTGCCTCTAAGAAGAATGGCTCGAGTGCAGATTCAAAAATAAAAAGTTCACAGTCAATGAAAAGTGCTCTCATTACATTACATACATAAATTATCTGATTGGTTCTACATTTCCAATAAACATCATTTCGAAAGGCTATATTCTCGTAGAGAAGAATGAAAAGCCATGTGACTAGTCACATCACATCCCATCAGTTAGGCTGAGATATAAGGTGATTTCTCTGTCACAGAGATCCATCAGCAGCAATAAGTAAAGAGAATCAATCTTCAGTTACTTCCTCCACAGAAAGAGTCCCTTTCCTGCCCAGGCAGGCAAATTCTCAAATTATCCTAGGAGAGAAAGGGTTAATGGCAGGTGGTAGGACTGATACAGAACAACATCTGCTTTCTTCCCAGTAACTCTGGGAATTCCAATGCAGGTTAAATGTGAAAGTTAACACTGATGGTGTTTACTAGCTTATCCGGAGCAAGACCCTGATAGCTCTCACCATGTTTGGCTCCAAGTTCTACCCCCCTCAGCTATGGTTTAGAAATGCAGAGGCACAATGCCTCTGGAAGGACCCCTACCCCCACACTGCACAGCCTTCCCTAACGCTCCGGCTCCTGGGGGAGGGTTACAGAGCCGTGTCAAACTCCTCCGGGAGCTCGGTCCGATCCTCTTCGTTGGGCTCAGGCTCAGGCCTGCTTTCCTGGTGTTGCTTCATTTGCTCTTTCACTTCTTCTTCCAGGTCACGAGGTACAACAAACTGGTCCTCTGGCTCCAGCTGAGTGGGGGCAGCGAAGTAGCCAGTTTTCCTCTTGGGTGCTTCTGTGGCCACTTCGATGAGGTTCAGGCTATCTTGCAGGGGCACGATAGAGCCGTTCGAGAGTTTCTTTCCATACAGACAGGAAGTGGAGGGGGACTTCTGTAACTCCATCCTGTCCTTGCTCACTGGCAGAAGTATGCCACTATTCACACTGTTCTGTCTTCGGATACCAAAAAACGATCCTCTAGCATGTTCCTCAGGACATGGGGTAGGAGAATTCTCTGTAAGAGTGGGAGCGTTCTCGAGATCCCTTCCCCTACAGCAGTGGATATCCACTTCTACTTCTACTTTGCTGCCATTTGTTATGACACCTTCAACAGGCTGGTCGTCATCACTGTCCAGGCCATTGTCAGACTGGTTACTTGAGAAAGTCGCACAAGAAGGCTGGCGCTGAAACACCCCAGAGGTGGGTGTTGGATGGAGGCTGCAGCGCCTCTCTGGCCTTGGAAGCAAGCCAGCATCCAGCCCGACAGTGTTGTGTTCATCAGAAGCAGTGGACCCCACCTCACTGCTCACCTCTGAGGTGGACATCTCGCTGCCAAACTCTGAGGCAATGCCACTACTGGAGGAAGGAGTGGTTGGCTTGGGGGGGTCCTTGATGATGGTGGTTGAAGCAAATCCCACAGGACCCGGGAGGGTGAGCCCATTCATTTCACACGTGCACCCTTCCTCACCGATGTTCAAATAAACCACCATCGCTCCGACATTATCCTGACAACCATAGCTCTGGGCTAACGTGCACAGCTTCTTGGCAGCTGCTAATGGGTCTTGCACATGGCGTACTGCGTTGACAGCTTCTGTATATGACAAGTGTTCCCACAATGCTTTGTTCCCCAGAATCAGCAACTCATCTTGAATAGTAAGTGGAGTGGCAGATATGTGGGGCTTAGGGAGGATCCAAGGGTAGAGGTATGTACAGCCCAGCATCCGGGTACAGCAGGTTACCCCATTTACTTTGTTGTCCTAGGAGACAAGCAGAATGCAAATTCTGAGAAACAAGCAACAATGACATATCATTTTTATCTTAGATCACAATGCCTAGGGCTCTACAGTAAAAGAGAACAGACGTGTGGCTTTTCCTCAGATCTCTATAATTTAAGTGGACTTACAAAAATGAAATGTACAGAATTCTTAAAGGACAAAATATCATGTGGTTATTATACCAAATAGTTCATAGGACTGAGGTTAAAACCAATTAAAATTAAGTGGCTAAAAGTTTATAGCACCTGCACCTCAAGAGATATTTGCTCACATGAAGTACAGGCCTCAGCACGTCCTTAAATAGAGAAACATCTGTTAGAAAAACAATAAGCAGAACTGTCATTAGTTCTCCATCACCAGTATTCTCACAAAGGCCAAAACTCAGGTGAGTCACTAAAAATGATTTCTCATTAAAGGCACAGTAGGGACGGAAAAGATTCAGTTAGATACTAAATGGCTAAGAGAATCTTTGTAGCTAAAGCATTAAATGATCTCTACAGCTGTTTAGTCTAGAAAAGTAAAGTCTGAAATCCATAGCATAATTTACCTAATCTGTAAGGATTGTACCAGGAATGAATAGCAGATCAAGTCACAACTGATATAATTCTAAACTGAGAGGAAAAGGAATAATCCTACTTGCTGTCATCTGCCAAATACTTTGTACTGATTTCTTTTCAAGATAAAATCAAACAAAACCCCTAAAGCCACCAATATATTTGTTTCAGAGTTGTGGTCATTCTCTGGGTGAAAATCTTGGCTCTCTCATTTACCAGAATTTGTCACAAACTCCTTAAGTTTTATTTTTCTCATCTGTAAAATGGAAATAAAAGCACTTCTTTCATGGGGATTATTGTGAAAATTAAATAAAATAATAGTGTCAAGTGCTTAGCAAACAATACATGCCTGAGGTTAAACTGACATTTTAAGAGTAATTCTTGCAAGGGGCGCCTGGGTGGCTCAGTCGTTAAGCATCTGCCTTCAGCTCAGGTCATGATCCCAGTGTCCTGGGATCGAGCCCCACATCGGGCTCCCCGCTCAGCGGGAAGCCTGCTTCTCCCGCTCCCGCTCCCCCTGCTTGTGTTCCCTCTCTCGCTGTGTCTCTCTCTGTCAAATAATAAATGAAATCTTTAAAAAAAAAAAAAAAAAAAGAGTAATTCTTGCTTGCCTACGGCATCCCAAGAAGAACCAACACAACATTATCTAAATTCTGGAAAAAGAGATTAATCAAACACAAAGTTATCTTTTATCTTTCATTTGTTTTGACTGAAAGACCTTCCTGAGACTAATACCTCAGTATTCCAGAATCTTCTTAGTATCAACCACATTGTAATGGTACTTTTTTTTGGTTTTGTGTTCCTTGGGTGGAATTCTGACAGGACAGACAGCCCAGAAACGGACCCACACAAATACGGTCCGACTGACGGCTGCCAAAGGAGCAAGGGCAGTTCCACGGAGAAAGGACTCGTCTGGTCAGTGAATACTGCTGCAACAGCGGGATGTCCACATGCAAAAAGGAAAAAGGACTCTAGACACTGAGATTACATCTGTCACAGATTAATTAAAAACAGATCACAGACCTAAATTAAAACATGAAACTTCTAGAAGCTAACACAGAAGAAAATCTGGGTGACCTTGAGTTTGGCAATGAGTTTGTAAACACCAAAAGCATGAGCCCATGAAAGAAAAAAAATGGTAAGTGGGACTTCATTCAAACTAAAAACTTCTCGGGGCGCCTGGCTGGCTCAGTCAGTAGAGCATGTGACTCTTGATCTCAGGGTCATGAGTTCAAGCTCCACACTGGGTGTGGAGTGTACTTAAGAAAAAAATGTTTAAAATTTAAAAAAATTCACACTAAAACTTAGGCTTTGCAAACAACACTGTGGAAGGAGTGAAAAGACAGACACGGACTGGGAGAAAGTATGTGCAAAACACATGTCTGATAAGGACCTGTATTCAAAATACACAAAGAACTCTTAAAACTCAACAACAAAGAAACAATTAAAAATGGGAAAAGCATCTGAGCAGAATTCCGCTTTGCAGTAAACAATGTTCACATACAATTGCTAAAGTCTCTTTGAAAGCAAAAATGTGATGCTAATTACTAAAAAAGGAGACAAGCTATAAAACAGTAGAGATACTGATGCTTCGTTATTAAAAAACAAAACAAAATAAAACCACCAGACCATACTAAGCCACACATAATATAAACAGTAAAAATATTTTAAAACTTTGCATTTCAGAACAGGGATGTCAGACTGTAGAATTTTTTCTTCTTCTATTTGGAATAATAAACCAGAGGAGTTGGAAATTAATCAAGGGAGATATTTACATTCATTTTACATGCTAGCTATACATCTGAAGGATGACAAATTAGGATTTTTCATTTCTAATTTGTCTTTTCTTTTTGTCAGTCATTGACTATTCATTAGATTTTCTTCTAGTACTATTATCTGGATTAGATACAATTTACCAGGCTTGACAGGAAGAAAATGGACCCTCAGTGCCTGTATGCAGGGCAGCATTCACTAGATTTGGGAAGCAGAAGTAACTGGTAGAGAGCGAGGTTCACCTCTGTTATGATGGCTTTCTGGGCCTTCACCCTTTGAGCCTCCTCCGGGTCCTGCTCCAGGCTGAAGACTTTCGAGAGGGGCACTGGTTTCCCACTGCGGCACAGGACCGCTTGGCATGTGCCAACGTTGGCTACAGTCAGGCTAAAACTACTTGTTGGGTCGGCAGTGTCAGGGCGGATGTAACAAAGGAGAGCGGAGGAGCCCAGCTTCTGGCCAGCCATTCCCAATTTCCTGTTTAGAAAAAAAAAGAAAATGAAGTTTTCCAAGTAAGTGGCAGTCCTTCATGTCCACACCTTCCTTGTTTCTCCGCCACGTGACTGTGAGCCAGCCGCCCCGTGTTCACCGGAAGGCAGGCTCTTACTACAGGACATGCCTTCCACGCTCAGCTGACTGAGAAGAGATTTTACAAACAGGCTGAGGGTAGGGGGAGACAGTGAAGATACATCTTTCTCTACGGCTTCTGCTTGTGTCTGATCACAGACTGTTTTTCATTCAGTCATTTTCAACTTCGGCACATCAGAGTCACCTGGAGGGCTCGTTAAACCAGATGGCTGGGCTCCCTCCCCAGAGTTTCTGAGGCAGTGGGTAAGGGGCTGGGCCTAGTAATCTGCACTTCTAACAAGTTCCCAGTGATGCTGAGGGTGCTGCTCCTGGAACGCCACTTTAAGAACCACTCACTTAGGCTGTAAGTTCCTCAAGAGAAGGAGCACACTCTTCCTTCTGTATCTCCCATACACATGGCATCCATCCTCTAGTGCATGGCACACAGTACTAAGCACAGAGCAGATAGTCTGAGAAAGATCTGGTTGCAAATTCCAGCTCTGCCATTTGCTCACTGCAGATCCACAGCAAGGTATTTTTCCGATAAAATACCTACTTCTTTGGCTTGTTTGGAAAATTAAAGATATGGTATGAGAAAGACAGACTGGTCTTCTGCCTGGCTCTTGGGGGTGCTTCATAAACCGAGTTCTTTTTCCCAAACTCTTTATTTGACCAAGTTCCTAGCTCAATTCTATTACTGAAAAATAGACTCCTTTCCCAACATCTGTGCTTTGTGTTATAATGAGATAATACCAGCTCAGGCGCAAGACTATTCCATCTCAACCTCAATGATATAAGGTTACAACCTCTCAGTTGTGCATGGCCTTCACACAGCCCAACTGATGTACTTGATGCTGTATTAGCTACCAAGAGATTTTCAATAGTTTGGTTATATAGAGTTTTTGCCCTTAAGTGGCTGAGAAAATTAATTGGTAAATCCCCAATAGTAAGTATTCTAAATACACGAATCTGATCAGTGCTTAACCTTTTGTAGGTCACTGACTCTTTGTGAAGAATCTTACAAAAGCTTACACCATCTTCCTTCCCCTGAATGTACAAATGCACTTATGCACACACAACCTTCTACACACGATTTCTGGGTTTTCTAAATCCTCAGCAACCTCTGGGTTCAACAGGGAAAACAGATGGCTCTACAGGCTCTTTATTTTTTTTTAATTTTTTTAAAGATTTTATTTATTTATTTGACAGAGAGAGAGACAGCAAGAGAGGGAACACAAGCAGGGGGAGTGGGAGAGGGAGAAGCAGGCTTCCCACGGAACAGGAAGCCCGATGCGGGGCTCGATCCCAGGACCCTGGGATCACGACCTGAGCCGAAGGCAGACGCTTAACGACTGAGCCAGCCAGGCGCCCCTCCACAGGCTCTTTAAAGGACCAAAGTCCCCGGGCCCCTGGGTGGCTCAGTAAGTAAAGCGTCTGCCTTCAGCTCAGGTTGTGATCTCAGGGTCCTGGGATCAAGCCCCGCATTGCATGGGGCTCCGCACTCAGCGGAGAGTCTGCTTCTCCAATCTCCCTCTGCCCCTCCCCCTGCTCATGCTTTCTCTTTCTCTCAAATAAAAATCTTAAAATAAATAAATAAAGGACCAAAGTCCCCACGTTCCTCTGTGCTGATACAGAGAACAGTCATAGCAGAAGGATCAAGGTCTCACCTTGATCCTGTACCTATAAATTTAGACCCTGACCTTCTGGCTTAGTGAGATTTACTTTCCAAAAGTAGAACTGAGTTAGGGATTATTCAACCCACCTGCTTACCTGTGAGATACCAAGAAGGTGTTAGCCATGAAAACCGTGTCATTTGTCGACTGCTGTACTTCTTCCAGAAGCACATCTGCCATCGTGCACTGGAGTAGGCGAGGGAGCTCTTCGTTTCGGTCCCCGTCAAACATGCCATACACAGCGCCCACCCCCTCTGCAAAGTTATCCACAGCTAGGGCAGAGACACACAGCCTGTAACAGAAACAGGATAAAAACCAACATCAGAGCAAGTTACGTTAAAAGGATTATTCTCCAGGGAGCCTTCTTTGAAAAGTATTAATTAAGGGTGGAAAAAACAGTAGTAAATTCTAATCTACACATGAAAACAGTATTAGGTAATTAGTAGCACCTGAAAGAGCTGATGTCATGAGAAACAGAGGAATTCAGCCACACTCAGGGGCAGTACATACTCGCTTTGCAGTGCTGCCAAAGCCTGGAAAGATTCAACGTTTTCCCTTAGTAGGGATTAAGGACTAGTACGGTCAACATCCTTCAGCCAAAGACCCCCAGGAGCACAACTATGGTGGAATGAGTTGGGCTTATTATGCCTTGCAGGAAGGGAGAACGTGCGCCATGGAAGCCCGCGGTGAGTAGGTAAGAGCGTGCTGGAAAGAACCCACTACAGGATTTGGGCTTTCGCTGGGTCATTTTGGGGAAGGTCTAATGAAGTGGACCAAGATTAGGTGCTGTCAGAAAGTGGGGCCCTTCTATGGTTGGGTATCTCAGTAAATCTTATCTATAGGGAAAGATGATTAGCATGAGGAGAAAGTAGCAGTCACCGTTTTAGCTGTGAGAGGGTGTGTGTGATATTTTGTGGACTGTGCATTCATCTTGTTTCTGTGTCACTGCACCATGGTCTCAGAGGGGTCTTCTCTGATGCCGGCATTCTATGATGTGCTTAAGTCCCACAGGAATCAATATGGCCCAGCTTTCAGCATCAGATCAGACGTCAGGGGCTGCCTTTTTAATTTCTTTCCATGGCCAAGATACTCACTTATTTCTCTGCCCTGCCATCTCGGCCAGTCCATGGCTCCAGAAGGTCGATGTAACTGTAGGATCGGTGGTTGGCAAAGGTTTCTGATCAATTTTCAAGGTGGTGATGTGGCTGTGGGAAGTGCAGGAAGGGAAGATGACACCACACAGGCTTGTGTGTTTCACAAGAACTATCCCAAAAGAACATGTGTTTTTATAAAATCATCTGCTGACAGACCAAGATTCATCTCCAGAGAGAATGAAGGAAAGTAGTGTGCTGACCCACGGGCCAAGAAGGAGGAGAAAGGAAAAGGGTAGAAGGAAGAAATAGGGGCCAAATATTGTGGCAATCGGTACTGTTCATTTCAATGAAAAACCGAGCACATCCAAAGATTTCAAAGTCTTAGCCCACTATCTACTTAAATATTCTGATACAATGGAGGCTTGGTACAATGAGTGAGGTTGCATCATCTCTTCGATGATGTAATGCAATGTAATCCATGCCACCTAAAATGTCTATGTGAAAATATTCAGTGTGTGGCTGAGCAGTGCCCATGATGCTGAGTTCTGATATAAATGGGCTGTCTACTGGACAGAATATCTATCCATAACTGAATTAAGTAAAAGAACGGAGAGGCTCTACGGCCTGATTCATTCTCTTCCTTTAATTCATCAAGATCCCTACACACCGCTGCAGGAGATCCACACATGGCTGGTGGAACTAAGAGCACATGTGGATTCAATTTCAAAATTTTTCCTACCTAAATGTGTCCAGCGTCTTGTGTTCCAGAACCAGATTTGTATTTCCGGTCAGGTCAAGGTCTTGTAAAGTAGCAGGCAGAGCCTCCGGAATCAGGATTTCTGTCAAGTCATTGCAACTTAGGTCTACAAACTGAGAGGAAAATGGGGAAATCAAAAGAAAATACATCACAGACAGCGAATTCTTAACTCCCTAACACTCAGTCCCCTACTATATCCTCAAAGGAAAGAATTTCTTCCCAGGAATCGATTAAATCTGTTGTGATCCCGAACTGCCGAGAAGAGAAGACCCGCCATTTCCCCAGCAAGACACCATTCCATCACAGAAAAGTACCTGGATCTGAGGCAGCTGCAGTATTTCTGGGAAAATGCTGATGTTGTTGGAGTGTGCCACAAGGGTGTGAAGCCTTTTGCAGTTGCCTATGGTCGTGGGAATGGTTTTAAGCTTGTTGCCACTTAGGTTCAGTTCCTCCAGTTGCTCCAATTTATTTAGTTTGCTGAAAAAGAAACAGCCACATAGCATGGTGCACCCCCAACGGGCAGCCGCCAAGCCGGGGTGAGGTGGCCTGGCCCACTGCCAGAGGGCTGATCGGAATCCAACAGCCAGACGCCAGCAAAGGGAACGGCTCCCCAAGGTGACTGCTCCCCGAGTCTAAGCCTACCCTGCCTCTCACTGGGTCTCGCGGGTGGAAGCTTCCCTTGCTTCTCCCATAGCTGTTGGATCTTGTGGGTATGAACATCTTCCTGTGATCTGACTTACGGGAAGAGGCTGAATCAGCACTGGCCCACGGTTGGCAGATGACTATGGTACTTGCTTGGCCACTAACTAGCTGCAAAATACTGCATAATTTAATGTCATTGGGCATCAACATCCTCAGCTATAAAATAAACAAGTTGGGGCGCCTACGTGGCTCAGTTGGTTAAGCGACTGCCTTCGGCTCAGGTCATGATCCTGGAATCCCAGGATCGAGTCCCACTTCGGTCTCCCTGTTCAGCAGGGAGTCTGCTTCTCCCTCTGACCCTCCCGCCTCTCATGTGCTCTCTCTCTCTCATTCTCTCTTTCAAATAAATAAATAAAATCTTTAAAAAAATAAATAAATAAACAAGTTGTACTAAATCGTCACTAAGATTCCTTTCAATGTTAAATTTCTATAGCTACCTATTCATAACATAATCCATCTTCAGTAAACATTTCAGGACTGCTTGCTGTGCACGCAGCGATGCGCCAGGGACTATGATACAAGCGAGTCACACTGTTTTGTGGGACTAAGCAAAGCTTTCTACACAGCAAGCAAAATATCTTCAGACAGCCTAACATCTTTATCTAGATTATTACAAACTGCTCTGATTTATTTATAATTAATTTAAAAATTATAAAAATAATAAACTCCTATAACGTGGAAAGAAAGTTTGGAAAATAAATAAAATAAATAAAACATTAATACCACCAATGTGAAATTACTATTACTCTTTCTGCTAAATTAGATGCATATTCAGCATTTTCATATGCATATTTGTTTTACATAAAATTTATATCCCGCCCTTTCCATGTATCATAATTTCTATTGCTAGAAAATTCATAAATACTTTTGAATAACTAAGCTCAGTAAATTAAAATTGTTCTCTTTCCTACTACAAAAGTAATGCATACTCATTAAAAAAAAACTGAAAAGTAGAGATAAACAGAAAAAAAATCTTTTAATCCTTCTACCACAGATAATCTCTCTTAACAGTCTCGTAGAGGGTATTCTTGTCCTTTTTAATGCAATAAACTATATTTTTCAAATTAAAAAATGTTATATATTGTTTAATAACTTGCCTTTTTTTTTAACTTAACAATACATTTTAAAAGTGTTCCCCTGTCCAAATCTCATGCTTTTCTCTTATACTCCTCCCTACTTAGACCTAATTTGTAACCAGAAATGCAGGATCCCTATCTCACCAGCCTCTTACTGAGTACCCAGAACTATGCTAGATTCTGAAAGTAGTCCAAAAGAAACAGAAGATTTGGACTGTGCCTGTGTAATTAAATATTGTTCAGGAGATGACAGTGGGTTTATGATTCAGTACAGAACATTTTGTTTAATATACTGCTCCTAAATTCCATTTAGTTTTATTATCTGTATTCAGAGTACTCTAATTTTGTGTAATCTCCTATTACTTTTTACCTTTATTTCTAACCTATCTTCATAATCTTTAATGTATTTTAAGTTTTGTATCAGTCTGCTTTTAATGCTTCCAATAAGAATGTCATCAGATTAGGAAGAATTCATCAGCTTCAGAGCATTCCATCTGCTATTTCCCAAAAGCTTCATAAACCAGTATGACTTGTCAATGGTCTGTTGTTTCCACTTTACAGTAACATATCTGAGGCCAGTGGAATTAATCTGATAGGATTTCAAGAGATCTTTCACATGCTGAAATTAAGATTCTGCCTTCACTTTTTTTTTAAGATTTTATTTGTTTTATTTATTTGAGAGAGAGAGAGAGAAGCACGCTCCCCGCTAAGGAGGGAGCCCGACGTGGGGCTCAATCCCAGGACCCCAAGATCATGACCTGAGCTGAAGGCAGACGCTCAAACTGACTGAGCCGCCCAGGTACCCCAAGATTCTGCCTTCACTTGAAAAGCCATTGTTCAAATTCTTTGAAAGAAGCAATCAAGTTTATCCTGCCTGTCTTCCATAAGCTCCAAATACCTCATTTCATAAACATTCACAAAAATTATAATCTCTATGAATTTTTCTGAGTTTATCACATTTCTAAGAAATCTGTTAAATAAAATTAGAATCAAAATATAGTTTTGTTTTCAAATTATATCAAACATAATTTCAAATTATAGCAAACATAATTTTATATGATATACATAATCTCACTCAAATTATATCAAATTTCCCTATAGTCTTCATTTTTGGAAACATGACTTTTGGGGCATCTGGGTGGCTCAGTCGGTTAAGCGTCTGCCTTTGGCTCAAGTCATGATCCCAGAGTTCCGGGATCAAGCCCCTCATCAGGCTCCCTGCTCAGCAGGGAGTCTGCTTCTCTCTCTGCCCTTCACCCTGCTGGTGCTTATTCTCTCTCACTCTGTCTCTCTCTCAAATAAATTATTTAAAAAAAAAAAAAGGAAACATGATTTTTAATGACTACTTTCATGGTATAGGTGGATTTTTCTGGCATCAAATTTTCCAAAATTTTTTTTTATCAAATATATTTTGGAAGATATTTCTCCACTGACACTGTTTACAACTTTGACAGCATTAATCATCTCTCTTATGTTTTCTTGTGGGTACAGCCAAATATATATGCTGAATAAATTAATGGACTCAACAGTATATTATAAAACAGAGCTGACAAGGGAAAGAAAAAATTGTTTTTAGAAGGTATTTCTTAAGCTTGTACTTTTATAGGTTGAAAATTCTGAGATCATTATTAAGTAATTAGAACAAAGAATTAAATGCATTTTAGCTACGACTTCTCTGGTTACTGATACTTAACAACTGGGTACAGATTTTCTCATTCAACTAGTGGAAGCACCAGCAAGTTGCTCAACATAAAGCAAGAGGACCCAGTAAGATAACTGTAAGGTAGGCTGGCAAATGCAGATTTCACCCTACGTGGTGTCTGAAATGAACAATGGTTCCATTTGCTTACCTTGCAGGAAAGGTCTGTAGCTGGTTGTTGGCAAGATGCAAGATTCGCAGGTGCGGGTGGCCCACCAAAACAGGCACACACTGGTCTGTCAGGAGGTTGTTGGTCAGATAGAGCAGCTGCAGAGCACTCAGACTCTCCTCGCCTGCGCCAGCAGACGGCAAAGATTCTAGACTGTTTGCAGAGGCATTCAAGTATCTGAGACTGACATAACACACACAAATCACCATTTCCTTTATGGTTATTTGTTACCATCATACCATCTCAGTATGGAACACTGCCATTTCATGCTCCCAAACTTGTGACACAAGTAATTTCCTCCAGGGTATTTTTTTTCTAATTGATTCTATCTACCCAACCAAAGTTCCTTTTATTCAACTCATGCAAGCCCAGCAGAGAGGAAAGAATTTAGGCTTGCTTGTATTCCCAGGCTTCTGCAGTGGCCTGATTCTAACCTAGTTTCATCTTTTACTGTCTGTTGTCCATGGAAAAGGTGTTTTTGAATGTCATGTTCACAAATATCCCAATTGTGAAGACACCCTTCAGAAAAGTTTTTGTCTGACTTTTAACAGGATCATATTTATTTAGCCAATTCCCTGAAAGTCCCCTAATAATGGGCATATAAGGCTGTTGGCTACTATTTGCTATTACAGACATCATAATGAGCAACTTTGTGTCCTTATCTAATTATTCCCTTAGGCTCTATTCCCAGAAGCAGAATTTGTAGGGTCAAAGATACATCTATCTTTGAGATTTGTGTATATATTGTCAAACTGAACTCCAGAAAGGCAATACCAAGTTATACCTTCCCCGAGAAGGATATAATAAGAAAGTCCGTTTGCTCAATCCTTTGTCAACACTGAGTATCATAATTCATTTTAATCTCCACCAATCTAACAGGTAAAATATGGTATGATTTTAAAAATTTGCCCAGCATGGTGTTTGGTATATATAGAGCATGCTTAATAAAAGACAGTTATTATTATTAACCTTGTTGTGTGTTCAGTCTTCTTCATATTATGTGATCCACATCCCTAATTAGCTTTTTAGTTGTTAAGGGTAGTTTATATGTGTGTATATCTTTGTATGTCCCAAAAGTTCTCTGTGCAGAGTTAGGGTTAGACTAATATCATTGACAGTTTGCTACAGCTACTAAGCAGCTGCCTTACTACAAATTCTAAGGTTGTAAACTAATTTTATTCAGACTGTCATTAGAACTAAATGCAGTGGGGCGCCTGGCTGGTTCAGTCAGTGGCATGTGCGACTCTTGATCCTGGGGCTGTGGGTTCAAGACCCATGTTAGGTGTGGAGATTGCTTAAAAATAAAAACTTAAAAAAAACCCAAAAAACCAACAACAAAGAGGGCACTTGGGTGGCTCAGTCAGTTAAACATCTAACTCTTGATATCGGGGGTTGTGGGTTCAATCCCCTCATTGGGTGTAGAGATTTCTCAAAAATAAAATCTTGGGAAAAAAAAAAAAAGAAGGTGGCTCAGTTGGTTAAGCATCCAACTCTTGATTTTGGCTCAGGTCATGATCCCAGGGTTGTGAGATCAAGCCCTGCGACGGGCTCCATGCTGGGCATGGAGCCTGCTTAAGATTCTCTCTCCCTCTACCCTTCCCCTTCTCTCTTAAAAAAAAAAAAAGAGCTAAATGCAGTGTTATGCATTACTAACAAATACTTGTTAATTAAAAAGTTAAATGTTACTGCATTAAAATCCCATATACTTTCCAAAAAGAAAATTTCCCTCAACACTTGTGAGCTAAATGCCTTTTGCATGTATCCTATATAGCCTTATGTTAAATTACTAATGCTTATCTCTGTTTTCTCCATTTATATACTGAAGACAATATTGCAGAAGACTATAATTAAAACGAATTTTCACTTAATGGTGACATATGCATGAGATAAACCAGATTACAGGAAGTAACAGGAAGACACACTATTTGTTAATTTACAATGAGAACGCAAATAACACCTTTTGGAACAAAGTTACATTTAAATGCACAGTTTTCAAAGTAGCTAGTAAAAAAGCACTGCACATTAAGAATGTAACTTCATGATAACCTGGTAAAGCAAGAAGCAAAAACTAAATTAACTTTAGTGATATGTCCTTTTCTCCCATATGCAAAAGCTGAAAATTGCCCAAGAAAGCTTTATCCGAATGCTGTAATTTTTCTTCAAGAGGTCATAAATGTATTCATTTTCAGAGATGAAAGCCTGTTTGAAATTTCCCAAGCTGCTTGAAATTGTTTATAACACTAAAACTTCTTCAGTATTTGATGGTTATTTCAACTTTTGAGTTAAAGACTACTGCCTCATACAAGAGTGCCCTATCTGATTTCATATAAATTACTCATATAAGTAAGTCTCCACCCATAGTTGGACCATGCAGCAAACACTGTAAATAGAGTTCCAAAGGTCACTCCGAGGACAAGTCAATACTGTTTGTTTCACCAATGGTTCTCTCTTCTAAAAAAACTCTGTGGCACTTACTTTAAGGCCTTGGAGAAGAGCGTATCTGGCAGCCTGGTGAGTAGGTTATGCTGAATATCCAGCAACTCGAGAGGGATGTGCTCCACCAGCACCGGCAGGCTCTGCACCTGGTTGTGCCCCACCATCAGCTTTCTGAGACTCAAGCTACTAAGGATTCTAAGGGCAACAGTACAAAGAAACAAATGAAAAACTTCCTTAAATCATTCTTTCTAGTCTGCCCTTGACCATCTCCCTGAAATCAGTAAACTAATAGAAGCCTATCCTAGACAGTCTCATCACTGGCAAGCACCTGAGCCAAGAGAGTGGCCACGACCATATGCTTACCCACCACCCACCAGGAAGTCATTATAAGGTCATTTTGGGAAAAGATGACTTAATGAAAGCAAACAACACAGAATAGATCTAAACAAAAAAAGCAATTTCTAGAATAAATTGATTTATATTTTAAGTCTAGATAGCACCAAAAATTCAGTGAGTTTATTTATACAGTTTATCCTTGAACAACATGGATTTGGACTGCGTGGGTCCATTTACATGTGGATTTTTTTTTTTTTTAATAAAGGCAGTAGAGTACTGTAAATGTATTTTCCTTATGATTTTCTTAATGAGATTTTCTTTTCTCTAGCTCACTTTAAGAATAGAGTATAAAATGCATATAACATACAAAACATGACTATTTATGAGATCAGTAAGGCTTCCAGTCAACAGTAGGCTCTTAGTAGTTAAGTTTTGGGGGGGAGTCAAAAGTTACACGTGGATTTTCAACTGTGCAAGGGTTGGGACCCATAACCCGCACATTGTTCAAGGGTCAACTCTAACTGTAATAAATAACAAAATTTATTATAACAAAAACTACTACTTATTTAGTGTTTAAAATGTGCTAGGCCATTTTAACTATTAAGTTCAGAAGAGTTAAGGGACTTTGATTCTCACACTAAATGTGGGAAATAGTATCATAATTTGAACTAAGGTCTGATTCCAAAGGCTGTGTTCACACCTACTATGCTGCAAGCCGCTAGTTTATTTTAAAGACTCCATTAGGTGACCCCCACACATTTCACACCTCAGTGCTTTTGAATATTCCATTCCCTCACCCCAAGTGCCTCCCTCTTTCCCGCTCCACATACAGAAATCTCACCATCTTGTAAAAGGTCAAATCAAATATGCAAATCTCTCATGAAGCATTCTCCAATTGTTCAAAGTTGTGAATTTCTAAAACATTTGATTCATACAGTGTAATGATGAAGAGTGAGGGCTTCAGAGTAAGAACGACTACACTCAAATGTCAGCTCCCATCATTTCCTAGTCAAGTGTGACCTTGGGCAAATTTACCTACCTGCTGCAGGCCTTCATTCCCTCATCTGTAAGATGAGAATAAGTGCGTCTAACTAATAAGGTGGTTAAAGCTTTAGTAAGATAATAAGTGAGGTTCTTAGAACATTACTCAGTTCCTAACAACTTATCCAATACAAATGATTATCACAATCAGATCCCTGACCTATGCCAGTAACTCTTGTGACATTTTATCACAGTTATCTGTGCCCAAGGCACCCCAACTACCCACTTACTGCAGTGCCGTGCAGGCCAAGACTGTGCACTAGCCATTACTGTATTCCTTATAGCACTTCACAGTGCCCTACACTCAGAAAGTACTCAATATTTATCAAACAAATTAATGAAAACTCCTTTGAAAGGCAACCCAAGGGGCGCCTGGGTGGCTCAGTCAATTAAGAGTCTGACTTTGGCTCAGGACGGGATCCCAGGGTCCTGGGATGGAGCCCCATGTCAGGCTCCCTACTTCTCCCTCTGCTTCTGCCCCTCCCCCTCTGTCTCTCTCTCAAATAAATAAAATCTTAAAAAAAAGAAAAGAAAGACAACCCAAATCTAGGAAAATAATTACACATACATACAAACACACATATTAATACATATATACATAATACATACATTAACACACACATACCTCATGGGAACCTCTGTCAGAAGATTATAGCTCACATCTAATATTTCCATCTTCTTTGCTTCACAGGCCCAGTCAGGGACACACTCTAGCAGGTTTCTACAGAAAATAATTAAAAGGCATCGCTGAAGATGACAAGTGGAACTCATTTCACTAGTCTGTAAGGTATCTGTTAACTGGCCTGTGACCTCCTTGAGGACAGGAGCACTCTCCCCAAGGCATCCCTAGCACACCACCTGGAATATAGTAGGTGCTCAAGGAATGCTGTAGATAGGCAGAGAGAGATAAACACACGAACGTGTATTATATTGGATCAATTATGCTATGCGCTCAAAGAAGACACTGAGGAGGTTCTGAGCACTACAGAAAGCACAGAGTAGAGAGATGGGGTGAGGAAAGACAATGAAAGCTGTGGCATTCTAAACAAACTTTCAAAGACGACTAGGATTTGCACAGGTAATGAATGACTGAAGGAGAAGAGAAGGAAATTGTAGAGAAAATGAACGAAGTGAATACAAGTGAGGAAGTGGGGACAGAAGGTAAGTGGTGGGAGAAGCTGCGAGTCATTTACAACGTGACCCAGGCCACCGGGCAGATACTTAGCACAAGAAATTCTATGTTCAGATGGTACTTAGCTTTGCTAAGGCTCAAAGCATCTACTGAGGGACAGATCACATAATGAGGCAGAAAGAAGCAGGTGCTGTAAGAGATGCGCAGGTACTGTCACAAGAGCCTCGTGAAGGATCAGGGCAAGCTCCCCAAGATATATGACATCTGGGTTAGAATCTGAGGAATGCTGTACACTGACCCAAGATGACAAAAATATACTAAGCAAGAGGTGACAACATGAGTTAGAGCAGCAATAAGAAAAGAAATGACATGATGTATGTGAGGAAAAATAAGCAGTCTGGTGACGCCAGAGCAGCAAATATGGAGCCAAGGGGTAGGAAAAAACCTGGAGAGACCTAAATCATGTCTAGAAGATTGTGACTTTATGCTGCAGGTACAGGGGGATCACTGAAGTGTTCGTAAGCAGTGGGGAGACACGGTCGGTGTTGCACCTTCAACAGCTCACTCTGGGGATACTCAGAGGTCCAGCTGAGGTTCTTTTTTAGTAAAAGGAAGCTGTTACAGATTTCCAGACAAGAAATGGTATGAGCCTAAATGGGTGATAATACACATGGAAAGGAGGGGAGGGATTCCAGAAATATTTAGGAGGCAAAAATCAAAACAACTGGGAGATGAATTAGACATGGGAGTACAGCAGAGGGAAGAATAAAAAATGACCTTCAGGCTTCTTGTCTAGAAAGCCAGGGAGAAAAATCATATCCCGAGAAACGACTGGTAGGCTCCAAACAAGGTTGGAAATGTTAGTCGCAAGTGGTGTCCATCTGATAGGACTATCTTACGATAATGCCAAAAGCTGAAGCAGACACAAGAGAACAAGCTAAGCTAGGGTTGGAGGAGTGGATAAGGAGTTTCGTTTGGCACATGTGGGAGGTACTTGGGAGACGGGCAGGTCAAAAATGCCTAATGCACAAGTAGACACATGGGTCTGAGGCTGGAAGAAGAGGTCTGGGCTGGAGATCCAGGTGATGCTGATGCTGAAGTGTAGCTGAAATCACTGGAGTAAATGAGACTTTGTCACATGAGAACGCAGCAGGTAAGGACAGACCTGGAATAAGTGACCTGTAAAAGGCTGGCTGAGGAAGAAGAGTACACGCAGGAGACAGGAGTGGTCGAAGCAGCATGAAAAAAAAAATCAGATCATATTAGGCAGCTGAGGAAAAAGCATGCTTGAAGAAAAGAGAGCAGGATTAATAGTGTCAATTTAGAGAAGTTCCAGATGAGAAGACCGAAAGCAAGCTGTGATGGGATAAACAAATGGGAACCGAGGAAAGTGAACCAACAAATGCAAATACTTCCTGAGAAATGTGGACAAAAAGGGAATGCGAAGAACCAGATAGGACCTAGAGGGGCTGCAAGTATCTGTCTTTGTTAAGACAGAAGAGGTGTGAGTGTGGGTAGACGGAGAAAAAGGAATACCCTGACCACACCGGAAGGGGAGGAAGTGGTGACTCACAGAGCAAGGTCTGGAGCAGGGAAGCAGATGCCATCCCAGGCTCAGAGGCTGCACTGGACTTGAACAGAGGAAAGCAGCTGAGAATGGATACGAATCTCCATGCATTTAAGCAAGGTGGGAAGAAGCTGAGGGAGATCACCTAAGACAATCTCTCTTTTCCCAGTCAAGTGAGACGCTAAGCTCTGGAGTGAAGGAGATGGGGGGCGGTGCAGCTGAGGGAAGCTGAGCAATGTGGAGCACATACCCAGGACACTGGAAAGACCTGACAAGAGAAGAGACTGATAAGCTCCAGATGAGGTTGGAAACTGAGACTTTACAGTGGTGTCCATATGATTTTCTTTAGCAATTATCAAGCCCAGAGAAGGTAAATCTTAGTACTGACCCATGCTGGGGTTTTGCTGAGAAGATATGACAGAAAGAAATGGCTGGAGGGGAATCTAGAACAACAGCTTAATAATAATGGTAACAAAGTAACAACAACAAAAAGAAACCTGGCTCTAATAGTTAATATTTCCTGAAAGACTATTTTATGCCAGGGGCACCTGGGTGGCTCAGTCGTTAAATGTCTGCCTTCGGCTCAGGTCATGATCCCAGGGTCCTGGGATCGAGCCCCGCATCGGGCTCCCTGCTCCGCAGGAAGCCTGCTTCTCCCTCTCCCACTCCCCCTGCTTGTGTTCCCTCTCTCACTGTCTCTCTCTGTCAAAAAATAAATAAAAAACTTAAAACAAAACAACATCTTCTTAAAAAAAAAAAGACTATTTTACGCCAGGCACCATACTAATATTTTGCATTTAGGATCTCATTTAATCTTTGACGCTGACCATATAGGACCCCATCCACTTTCTACCTGCTCTATCACTCTATAATCACAGCATTTAGGAAGCTACCCTGTAACTGCTTGTTTGGTTGTCAAACTCTCCAATAGGCTATAAAACTCAACCACCGAATCCTGAATGCCCAACAGCATTTAAAAAAAAAAAAAAAAAAAGGAAAGAAAGCAAACCTCAGTTATATTTGTTCTTGACCACCAATGGAAGTAATAAAATCCTGAATATAATTAATATCACTCTAACCATCAGACCAACACGGGTCATAAGAATACCAAAAAAATAAGAGAATAAAAATTTAAAAATAAGGCAATAAAAACCAAGAATTATCTGAATTTAATCAGCAAGAAGGAAATCACTACCATGAAGGAGTTAAAAGTTTCTTTGTTTGCATCTCATTCTAAATTCCCAGACTTTGGGGCACCTGGGTGGCTCAGTTAGTTAAGCAGCTGCCTTCGGCTCAGGTCATGATCCCAGGGTCCTGGGATCGAGCCCCGCATCGGGCTCCCTGCTCAGCCGGGAGCCTGCTTCTCCCTCTTCCTCTGCCTCTCCCCCTGCTTGTGAACTCTCTTTCTCTGTCAAATAAATAAATAAAATCTTAAAAAAATAATAATAAATAAATAAATAAATAAATAAATTCCCAGACTTTAAGAATGAGTAATTCACAGGCACCTTTCTGTTTCAAGAGGACCTTCCCTCGAAATAGATGGTATGGCAATTAAAAGTATTCCTCCACTCGTCCTTTCTCCCTTCTCTAGGCTACCCAAATATTTCAATGTATTAGATCTCTTATACCTCAAAACTACCAAAGTATCCACATCTAACTCTTAAATATTAATAATCAAACAAGCACCACTCTCATGAGACACACTCACCGGGAAAGTTCTAGAGAAGTGAGTTGACTGGGTACTGGATAGACATTCACTGCTGTCAGCCCTAATCAAAAAACAAACAAATGTTAGTGACACTCTCCAAAGAAGAAAGTAACTGAGAGTAAACAAGAGCAAAGTGGCTCAGTGAGATCACCAGAGAGAAAACTAATGTCATCTACTGAGATGGACTGAAGACAAAAACCTGGGTACCTAGCAATGACTAACTTTGACTACCTGATCGTGATCTGAAACCAAATAGAATAGAAGGATCCTGTGTACTGGTCTGGACTCACACTAGCTCAGGCAGTTGTTAAATGTCAGCAGTGACTACTTAGCTTTTAAACTTAAAAAAAAAATTAATAATTGGATTTTTACTGGCAATATTTTAACTTTTAATTAAAGTAAAACGTAAATATAGAAAAGTGCAACAATCTTAAGTGTATAGATCAACGAATTTTTACAAACAAAAACCAGTGGGGTAACCAGTACCCAGATCAAGAAACAGCGTATTACCAGTTGCCCCGAATCCCCCTTTAGTCACTGCCCAGCTGGGCAACCCCACCCTGACTCCCAATACCACAGATCACTTTTGCCTATCCATATAAATACACACATACAGTCTACATACTTTTCTGTCCGGATTTACTCCACACCGTGATTGTGATATTTGGTCCTATTACTGCATATGGCTGTAGTTCATTTTCATTCTCGTGGCCGTATCAATTTTTTTATGTAAATATACCACAATTTATTTAACCATTTTAGAGTTGGTGGGCATTGAAGTCTTTTCCAGTTTGGGGTTACTATGAACACTGCTTCCATGAACATTTCTGTCCCTGTCTTTTGTGGACTAATGCAAGGAGCGTTTATGTTGGATATAAGATAGGAGAGAGAGAGAGAGAGAGAGAGAGAGAAGATAATTCTACGGGTTTCCAAAGTGGTTGAACCGATTTACACTCACAACAGCGGACACTGGCATTTTTAGTCTTTTCCATTCTTGTCGCTCTGGTAGGTGTGCAGTGGTGTCATACTGGGGTTTCAATTTGCATATCCCTGATGACCAGTGAGGTTGAGTGCCTTTTCCTACATTAAGTGATCACTTGGATAACCTCTTTTGCGAAGCTGAGTTCTTTACTTTTGAGGCATCAGAACTGCAAGTTTTGGTGTGAAATCTTCCAGGTTGTAGAACTTAAGGATTCCTTCCATCAACAGAGTGGCTAACTTCAAGCAAGCCCCGTTTAGTAGGGCTCTGTGAGAGAATCTCAGTCCCCAAAGACAGCGTGTACGTCAACGGGGCCTTTTCTAGCAGGGCCACTCATTCAGATTCTCTAGATACATTTAGAATAGAGAATGGGCCTGATAGCAAATATTTATATGACAAAAAGACCAACTACCATCTCACAATAGTATCTACATAAACAGCACAAGAAGACACTCATCAGCTTTGACACGATTTTGACCTAAGCAATTAATCTAAGCTACAATTTGAAACTTCTCTAGCATAATAAAAGGCAATGAAAAGAGAAGTCCTTATCTTTTATCCTAATAATGTATTTTAGAGTCACAGAAAAGAGAATAAAATAATGAACACTCGTCCATCCATCAACCAGCTTTTAACAAATCTTCACATTCTGCCTTATATGCTTCAGACTTTTTTAGGAATTAAAACACTGCATATACCAAGAGATACACATCATTCTGAATATGACTTTTATCCTTCCCATGGGTTCTTTTATGCTGTTATGGCATACATACAGCTAAGGAAACATTTCTGTGTGTTTGAAAATCTGATACAACGATCTTGGTGTACATATAATTATGCACTTTTTCCCCCTCAAAAAATGTTTGTAAGATTTACCCAGATTAATATACAGAGCTTTAGGGCATTCATTTCCATTGCTGTGCAATATTCTATTGTATAAATATGTCACTGTTTACACATCTTCCTATCAACAGTCGTATTTTTTTCTTATTTTTTTTTTTTCACCATAAGGAACAACGCTGTGATGAACCTTCCTGTACACAGCACCTTATGCTCATGTGAGTGTCTCTGGGAGATATCTCAAGTGCAGGAACTGGCAGAGTATGGGCTACACGCATCTTTGACTTCTCTTAACACTGTCTAATTGCTCCCCAAAGTGGCTTTACCAACTGACGCTCTCACTGACCAAGTGTGAGAGCTGCTTCTTCACATCTTCAATAGCACTTAGCAGTATTTTTTTTTTAATTTGGTGAGTATACAATGGCATTATCAAAATTTGCATTCTCCGACACTTAGTGATACTGAACATCTTTCCCCATCCTTAAACACAGAAAAAGTAATTATAATTTCCTTGGTAAAGAACGCTCCATAAAAAGAATGGCCCCAACAAATATGGGGCCTTTTCTACTGAAAAATATTCATGGAGCAAATCACTATTGAAATGAGTGGCTTCTGGTTCTAGAACTGAGGCAGCACAAAGTTTTAGACTAGAGATGGGCAAAACTTTCTCTGTCAAGGGCTAGGCCTGTGGTAAATATTTCAGGCTTTGCAGCCCTCCCTCCCCCAGTCTCTCTCACAGCTATTTCATTCTGCCACTGTCTCGTAAGACCAGTAACCTGTAAACAAATGACTGTGGGCATGGTCTAATCAAACTCTATTCACTGATATTTGAATTTCATAGAACTTTCCCAAGTCAAATTTATTTTATTTTTTTTAACCCTGCCATTAAAAAATGTAAAAACCCATTCCTCATGGGCCACACAGAAACAGGTGGTGGGCCAGATCTAGTCCCTGGCCTGTAGTTTGTCAACCCTTGTTTTAGGCTATTACTGATACTCTATTTTGAACATGTTTGCGCACCCTCCTATCCCTCGTTATTTTGCAAAATGCCTCTTATTATACTCACTTAGTGAATCTCCAAGTATCCTGAAATGCCTTTTTATGCATATCTCAACCACTTAAGTGTTGACAGCAAACTTAAAAAATAAAGCTGGTCTCAATAAATCTCAAACTACACTTTGCAGAGTGGCTGAGCAACACCACAGATGCCACCGTTCTTCGAAAGCTCAGACAAGAGCTACAAGAGAGAAAACAGGAGGCTGGATGGAGAACTCACTGTTGGAACTGGCATAGAGAGTTCGCAGGGAGAAGCCACTGAGTGTCAGCTCTCTCAGCTGGTTCCGTTCACAGTGAAGCTGCTCCAAGCTACATAAGGAGCTAAGATCTAAGTCAGCCAGTTGATTGTCCCGCAAATCCATGTGGGTGATGTACTTATTTCCCTCCAGATTTTCAGTAACCACGGTTTTCAAATGGTTCATCCTTAAATATTCAGAAATAAGAAAATCATTAGAAAAAAATTCTACTAAATATGCTTACCAAAAGAAAAATAAGAGAGGTATGATCCCTTTCTCTTTCCTAAACAACTCAAAAAGTTTACTACTTGCTTCATTTTGCAAGGTATTAAGTAAATAATCACATACAGCTGTACCTTGAGTTCTCTGTTTATAAACTTAGACAATCCAGACTTGCAAATACATATACAAATTAAATAAAGAGAAAGGGAAAAGGGACCATGCCTACAAACTGTTAAAAAACTTACATCCAAATACTTAATAAAGTTAGGCAGGGATGAAGAAGCAGGCCAAATGAACAAGAAGATGAACATAACCTTTCGGGTGAGCAGCAAAGCAGTCTACATGGTATACCATGTAGAGAACAAGAGGAAGCAGCCATACTTTCTCCCGGGGCTCTGCCTACTCTTTCTTGTGCTAAGATTCACATTACATTAATTAATGAAGAGGAAAATAATCTGTATCTATATGGAACAGTTCAAGGGTGAATAACAGAAAATGGCTTCTTGGTTCTCTTCTACACTTGTAGAGAATACACAGGCATGTTCTCACTCCTCTGTATTTCAATAAACTTTTCTGACTACCTTCATTCCAAATGCCACACAAGCTCCTTATGCTGCAAGGAAAAAACGAGTCTAGCAAAAGTCAGATACTTACTTTAGTAGACTGCCAACCTGACTCGGCAGGTCTTTACTATTTCTTTACAAGGAACAACAATGGCTTAGTATAAATGATAGAACATTTACACTATGCATATTTGTCTTTTATGTGTATGTGTCTTTTACCAGTTCCCTTTAGGAAAAGATTTTAACTAGAAAATAAAACCTACAAAAACTTCACAGGAAAACCTTTAACATTTTAATTGTAATACAACGGATATCAAGAAGAAACCCAATGATTCAATAGAAAAATGGTCAAGTGTAAGGAAAAATACAAACTTACCAATTAGCATATTAAAAAGATGCTCAACCTCACTTATAAATAAATGCTGATTAAAACAATGAAGTACTATTTTCTCCTACTACAAGGACAATAAGGAAAAAGACTGCTAAAATCCAACACTGACAAGGACGTGAAGAAATGGGAATTCTATAAAAGGTTGCTGGGAGGGTAAGTCAGAACAACCTTTGTCAAAGGTAATGTGAAAGTCTCTATCATGTGGTACACCTACCTCACTCATAATCTCTCTGCTACTGGGTGAAAAATGAAGCTTTACTATAGTTTGGAAAATATACACTGTTCTAAAATCCTAATGTTTTAGAGAAGTTTTTATAAGGGGAAAACATAAAAACCATCAGAGGTCCATCTAAAGGAGGACACAGTGAAGAATGGCCTCACCTTAAATCCACGTGTTTGATATGGCTCATCCTGTTCAGCACCCCAAGGTTTAGGACTTCCAGGCGATTTCCTGCCATCACCACTTTATCTAACATAGTGAGTTTCTCATAAACCTCAGGAATTTGACTAAAGTTATTAAACGAAATTCCCAGGGAAGAAAGCTGTTGCAGATTTCCCAATTCTTCCGGTAAAGTCGTCAGAAAGTTGCCATCAAGAGAGAGGGTTTGAAGACTGTAGTAAGAAAACAAGACTTTATGAAAGGTTTTAACTGGAATGGGTAGAACTAGAGGGATAGATTCTGACTTACATCACTAATTTATTATGAATCCAATAATGATAAAATATCCTATCTATAGAGACTCAATGACATACATAACTGCCATGGATGGTCCAACATCAAAAATTGTCAGAGCTTCTGCTGTTGAAACTGGGGGGCTAACTAGTCGCCCCTGCAAGCAAGTCACAGCTGCTGTCTAGAATCCTCATAATTACATGACTTACTTCACTGCCAGAGCTCATGCGACTACGTTCATTCCAAATGCCACACAAGCTCCTTATGCTGCAAATAAAAAATGAGTCTAGCAAAAGTCAGATACTTACTTTAGTAGACTGCCAACCTGACTCGGCAGGTCATGAAATCCGTTACAGGAGAGGTTGAGCTCAGTCAGGGTAGAAATCTCACATAACAATACAGGAAACAACCCAAGTTTATTATGGGACAAGTTCAGGCCCTTCAGCTGAGAAAATCTAAAAAGCAAACATAAAAATTACAGTACTGAATGAAAAAGTCATCTGTTTTAAATGTCCACTGTAGAAGTTGTTCCACAAATATTTACTGAGTACTCACTACGTGCCAACCATCGTGCACAGCACAGAACACTGAGATGCCGAACCCCAGCTCTATACCGACAAGGAAATCAGGTCTAGGGCAATGGGAGTTCTTCTCTCTTCTCCTTAAAAAGGTGCAAAATCTTAAAAAGCTCATGCTGGTATAAGTATTTTATATCTAGTCATACTGATATGCTTGATATCTCTTCCTTCATCAAATTTCTATATGCAATATAAAAAACCTTGTAACAATTCATCAACTCATGAACACAAGAAGAGCTAACAAAAATGCACATCAAATCCCATTATAAGCAACTTCTTTTTATATATTGAAATTATATCAGCTCAAATTCACCTGAAATGAATGGGGCACTTAGAACTTACAACTATGTATGTGATATGGTGTTTTACTGCAATACAATCTAATAGAGAACATGAAATAGTAATTTTTAGTGCTGCTGTTTTCTTCCTAGAAGTAAAAGTATCTATCCTGTCTTACCCAGAGACAGTGCCATCATACACTGGATCCATAGGAATCACGCTGGTAATTCTACTTAGGAGTATTATACTAATGATTATACTAGTGCAAGAGGGTAAGGCTGAGGTGGTGCTCTCCACAATGATGATCTGTATCATCTGCTTCTACACTGGAGTCACTGGTACCTCACTCTAATGCTGCTCTTTCAAATTTTCAACTTTTGATTTCCAATTGTCCTGACCGTGACTACTGATTGTTCCTTTGGCTTGGTGTCTTGAGACTTCAGAATTCCTAATCCAGCCCTCAAACTACATGAACCCTATTTTCATAGTGACTGAGAAGAAAATGCTAGAAACCCACTTCCTTAAAATTATAGCTTCTGTTGTTTTTACATACTAATATAATTAAAATTATTATCTCATTACTAGATGGAGGCTTGCATATACCTAAAAAGCTTTGTAAAACACATCATATGGGACAAAAATCACAATGCTTTCTCAAAATTATTTTATAAATATTAGTTATTAAGTAAAATATGTAATTTCAATGTATATCTTTTTTAAAAAAATTTTATTCATTTATTGAGAGCAAGCAAGAGAAAGCAAGAGTGGGGGAGGGGCAGAGGAAGAAGGAAAGGAACAAGCAGACTCCCCACTGAGCTCGGAACCCAACATAGGACTCAATCCCAGGACGCTGAGATCATGACCTGACCTGAAGTCAGACACTTAACCGACTGAGTCACACAGGTGCCTCACAATGTGTATTATCTTTTTAATCACCACTTAATTTGACTGCTTTAATTTCCAATTTCTCCCCTGCTCACAAGAAGCCCACACAATAACTTATACTAAATACTTATTCACTTCCATCCACTTTTAAAGTGTGGAGGGTTGGAAGGGGGAATATATCCTAACAAGGAAATTGGAAAATACATGGGCCATAGTCCCTTAGGAGTGAAACGGCTCCTTTATCAGAAGAGAGAGGTTTCACAGCTGTCAAACAGCTTAGAAGCTAGCATTAGCAAGTACACAGGAAAGATAAAAGCCCCAACCTGGGAGTGGAATTCTTGAAACTAGGCCTATTTTCTTTAAGCTATTTAAGTTTGACACTTATGATTCAAAAACTTGCCATATACTCAATCTCCCAATTTACCCTGGCTTCAGATCATACATCACTGTCAGTGACTTATGTAACAAGATTATCCAGATCAATGGCAGCTCAACGTTGCCTCCATAATAGAACATTTGCATCTATCTTCTGTTTCATGGAGGAGAAAAGGGGGGTAAGAAAACTATGAATAAAAAATTTTACTTCCTCTTGGAAGGGGAAATTTGGGGGAGGGGAAATGGAGGGGAAATTTTCAAATATATACACAATGGTAAGCATGCTCAGTTCCAGGTACAAAAGACTAAGATGGTGATCACGATTTGGTTTGAGTAAGTTAGTAGGGAAATCCATTCCCCACATACCTGTAAAGAGTGTCAAGGCCCCCAGGTCTTTCCAATTGCATGAAGTTGTGTCGCAAATTGAGGTAGGTGATATCTTGACTGTAGAAGAGATGCTCAGGAACCTCCTCAAGGCTGTAACAGGACAGGTCAACAGTGCTGATTCGCTGGGACACCACCTGAATGGGGTCAAGGAGAAGAGCCATCTGAGCTAGCACCAAATGTCTCTCACCCAGCAGAGGAAGGAATGACATTTACATAAAAAGGCGCTAACTTTAAAAATGCGAAGGAGAAAAAGGTAATGAGATCCAATTATTCACTTATAAAAACCAGTTCGTTTTTGCTTTTTCCTAAAACCATAAGCTGCTTGAAACATGCAACAGTGTAAGTTTTAAAGTATCTATAAGTTAAAAGTAAAAAAATACAAATCATAAAGATGGAAAGTTAACATTTCATGCAAGAAGTTGAGATGACTCAAAATAACCATAAAAACTCTGGCAGGCAGTGTGATACTGAAAGCCATGGCCTTTTGTATCTACACGGGCTCTGCTACTTACCAGTGCAGTTGCTTCATCTGTTGTGAGGATAAAATTAAATACCCCAGCACACAGCACACTCCTTAGTATGCACAAGGTGCTCAAAAAATATTAACTTCTCTTTATAAGGTCAAAAGAATGGAATAGCTACTTAAAACTGAAACTAGTTTTATTCAGAAGAGATTTTATTACCACTACAATGTATGTACAGAAAATTCAATAAAACCAAAACAAGTTTATATTTCTGTAATAGTATGCTAATAAAAGAAAGGTTGTGAAAATTGGTCTAAAAACCAAACTAAATGCCACGGAAAAGTCATTCATGTTTTATGGCATCTCATTATACCAAAACAATCATTTATGCAACTGTTTAGCTCCGCAAAGAAAAATGTGCTAAAATTCTGCAGATAGCTAGAAGAACAAGAGAATTCAGAAACTGCCACTTTTAGAGCACTTCATCTTTAAAGACTAAAAAAGCAGAAATTATGCTGAAAAGCTAATTATCCTCAGCATACAGGAACACAGGTCACATTCCATAATAAGTTCAAATTTAAAGTGGTTCATCACAGCCGTGCTAAATATATACAAGACCAAGAAGCACTAGGCTAGGAATTAGGGAACGGCACCATCTCTCACTGACTACAGTGGCTGAGGGAAAGTCATGTGAATCTCATTGTGTCTTAATTCCTTTAAGGCCATAGTCTTCTCACAGAGATGGTATAAAGGTAAATGCACCTGCAAACACTTTTGAAAGCTTTCTGTACTACACAAATATAAATGATAAGTTAAGGACCTGCTGGAATTCCATTATTTCATGCATTATATGCTTAGAGGGGCCTAAAGTAAGATGCATAAAAATTATAATTCACTCTCTTGGAAGCGAGTTCAGTCTCACACTACATCTCTCATGGGCTTTTAGTCTTATCCCCACATCAGGACGTTCGACAGCTAATCACCTTGGATGCTTGTCGCTGCCATCTCTGGCACTCAGCCAACGTCTCAAAGCTGACATGATAGGTCTGAGCTTGGGCTCCGGCTGAGCTGAACGCAAGGGAGTGCTGCCGTCGCTTCACTTCTTCCACCTGAAGAGGAAGAGGGGAGAAAACCAGAATCAAGAAAAAAGATCCTTGTCAGAGAGCAAAGGACAATAACGAGACAACTCAGTTTTCTAAAATAGGCAAAAGAAAGGGGCGCCTGGGTGGCTCAGTCATTAAACGTCTGCCTTCAGCTCAGGTCATGATCCCAGGGTCCTGGGATCGAGCCCCGCATCGGGCTCCCTGCTCCGCAGGAAGCCTGCTTCTCCCTCTCCCACTCCCTCTGCTTGTGTTCCCTCTGTCAAATAAATAAATAAAATCTTCAAAAATAAAATAAAATAAAATAGGCAAAATATCTGAATAGACATTTCTCCAAAGAAGATTGAAAAATGGCAGTCATGACATGAAATGATGTTCAAAATCGTTAGTTATTAGATACATGCAAATTAAAACTGAAAGATACCACGTCACATATGCTAGGATGACTAAAATTAAAAACAGAAAACAAATGTTGGATAACAAGTATTAGCAAGTTATGTGGAGAAACTGGATCCCTCATATGCCACAGTGGAAACATAAAATGGCGCGGCCACTTTGGAAAACAGTCTGGCAATTCCTCAAAAGGTTAAATGTAGAGTCACCATGTGACCCAGCAATTCCACTCCTACATACAAACTCAAGAAAACATACATCCACACAAAAACTTGTACGTGAATTAGAGCATTATTCCTAATAGCCCCAAAGGGGAAACAACCCAAAAGTCCATCCATCAACAGGTAAATATATAAACAAAATATAGTATATTCAAACAATAGAATATTATTTAGCCATCAACAGAAGATACTGATGCACACTACAACACATATGAACCTTGGAAAGATTATGTGAAGTGAAAGACAGTCACCAAGAACTGTAAACGATATGATTCCATTTATATGAAATGTCCAGAGTCAGCAAATGTGGGCAGAGAGAAAGTAGATGAGTAGGTTCCCAGGGCTGCGGAAGGAATGGGAGAGATGATGACTAAGGAGTGCAGCGTTCCTCTTCAGGGTCATGGAAGTATTCTAAAATTGATTGTGGTGATGGTCACAAAACTCTGTGAATATACTAAAAGCCACTAAATTGTACACTTTAAATGGGTGAATCATAGTATATAAATATCTCAATAAAGCTGTTTAGAAAAAGCAAAAGGAATACTTTGTTGGAAGTATGTTGAAGGAATAGGACTCGGGGCATACTCATAAGTAAATCTATTTATTAATTCCTCTGTAAGTCACGACACAGGCTCAATTTGATAATTAAACATTTGTTGCATGAATACATTCTACTGTTCTGCGTGCTGGGGACAAGCAGGGGGAAAACAACAAAGCCCCGCCCTCCGCGGAATTTGTATTTGAGAAGGGACAAACACTCTAACACCAAAACGGTGACATGATATAATAAATAATGAATAATATCAAGAAAGATAAAACAGGGAAAAAGCTTGGCAAACAGGGTGGGTGATCTGAATTACGAAAGGGCAGTCAGGGAAGGACTCACTGAGGTAACATGTGAGCAAAGACCCTAAGGGGGTCCAGGCGTGGAAACCTCCTGGGCGAGGAGCGTTCCATGCATAGCAACAGCCAAGTACAAGTCACTGCGATGCAAGGCTGCATGCTGTGTTTCAGAACAGGAGTCTCTAGACCCACGTGATTACAGCCAAAGTCTCCACTCCACAGTTCCAATCCTTCCCACCTACACTGGGGCACAATGGAGGTAGCTGCCTGCCTGCAAAGGGTGCCCTGGCCTGGTTTTTGGACTCCTCTCCTTTCTTACTAAGCGCTGGGCTAGATGCCATTTTTGACCCCCTCCAGGGCTGAAGTAGAAAGGGAGGAAGGACAGGAAACTTAAAAGTCCAAAGGTTCTTACTAGACAAGCAGAGTCCTAATGTGACTTCATAGTCTCTGGGACTAGCAGATTTTAAAGAGATGCTTTTCCTCAATGGGTCCTTTTAAGGGTTCTTTTGGTTACCGCCCACTCCACCCCAAATAATGATGGCTTCTCACTTATAGATCCCTTGCCCTGGCTAATGTATGCTCTTCCAGCACTGGACTACTCCCTCCTCAGACATGAAGGAATCCGGTGGTCCACTGATAGCCTGTCCTCAGGGAAGCCTATTTGCCCCTCAAGATGGCCCTGCTAGACAAGTTCTAAGAGAATCCACCCACTCATCCACCAATCTACCCACTGGTTTTTCCTCTCTCAACCCATCTGGATCACAAACTAACAAACCCAAGGAACACACGATGATCCCAATGCATGAGCTAGGCTCTCAGGCTACCTGGATGCTTTGGTTACAGACTCATTTCTGTCCTCAAGACTTCTTGGTCAGAAGGCAGGACACCAATCCACTATGCCCCCCTTACTGCAAGGGACCCATATCAAGCTCTCTTGAATCCTGTGGAAACCTCTTTCACTAGGCTTGAGGAAAAAGGCAGAAGCCATTCCCAGTTGGGGTGGCTGTAGGGATTCACAGCACAATAGCAGTTCTAGTCAAAGCAATTCTCCCCCAAAATCCAACAACCCAATTCACATAGCTTTGATAAAGATGAAGTCTTTATAGTTACGGAACCACTTACATCTTTGCCTGACATCTCACTTTGGTATGTCATAACTATTGAATCTTGGTGAGTCAGCCGGAAACTTCCAAATTATACTCGTAAATCATTAGATTTCTGGTGCCAAGTAAAGTGAATCAAATGGCAAACACAAAATACTTTAAGCAAAAAAGAATCATATTAAAAAGATCCCAATAAGGGGCACCTGGGTGGCTCTGTCAGTCAAGCGTGTGCCTTCAGCTCAGGTAATGATCTCAGGGTCCTGGGATGGAGCCCTATATTGGGCTTTGTACTGAGTAGGGAGTCTGCTTGTCCCTCTCCCTCACCTTCTGCCTCTTACCCCGCTCATGCATGCACACGCTCTCCCTCCCCCTCTCAAAGAAATAAAATCTTTAAGAAAAAAAAATCCCAATAAAATTAAATAATATTCATAACACTCAATTGTGATCTCAAAACAGGATCATTTTTTATTAGTAATAAATCACACAAATGAGTGAGTCAAAATAAAGGATCTTATTGAAACGAAGAACAGATATTAATGATTGTTTCAGAATAATCTTTTTTTTAAGATCTTACTTATTTGACAGAGAGAGAGCACACAAGCAGGCGGAGCAGCAGAGGGAGAGGGAAAAGCAGGCTCCCTGCTGAGCAGGGGAGCAGGACCCTGGGATTAAGACCTGAACTGAAGGCAGACACTTAACCGAATGAGCCACCCTGGCGCCGTGTTTTAGAATCAACTTCCTAATATTTTAACTATGGGGTATTTGACACAGAAAAATATACTCATACATTGTCAAATACTGAGATAGGTTTGTAAATCTGAGATTCTCTGCCTCTCCCCCTGCCCTTCCCCCACCCCCGCGCTTGCTCACTCGCTCGCACACTTGCTTGCTCTCTCTCCTTCTAAAATAAATAAATTAAAAAAAAATGTTTTTAAGATTCATCCTTATTTTGGTGTATATCAGCAGTTCATTCCTTTTTATTGTTCAGTAGTATTCCATTGTGTGGAATGTGCCTGCCACGTTTATTAATTCACAAGTAGTCAATGAACATTTGGGTTGTTTCTAGTTTTTGATAATTATGAATAAAGTTGCTATGAAAATTCACATAAGGTCTTTGTAAAGACAGATGTTCATTTCCCAATACCTAGGAGAAATGCTGGGTCGTCTGTTATGCATATGTTTCAGTTTATAAGAAATGAAAAACTTGGGGCGCCTGTGTGGCTCAGTTGTTAAGCGTCTGCCTTCGGCTCAGGTCATGATCCCAGGGTCCTGGGATTGAGCCCCACATGGGGCTCCCTACTCGGCAGGAAGCCTGCTTCTCCCTCTCCCACTCCGCCTGCTTGTGCTCCTGCTCTCATTATCTCTCTCTGTCAAATAAATAAATAAAATCTTAAAAAAAAATGAAAAACTGTTTTCCAAAATGACTGTACTCCCACCAATGATGCGAAAGCATTCCAGTTGCTCCTCATCTTTGCTAAATTTGGTACTCAGCAGTCTTTTGATTTTAGTCATCCTAGTGGTGTGCAGAATCTGTCTGTGATATTGATTTGCATTTCCCTAATGACTCATGATGGTGAGAATCATCCTATGTACTTATTTGCCATCTGTAGATCTTCACTGGTAAAGGATCTGCTCAATTCCTCCGCCTAGTTTTTACTAGGTTACCTGTCTTTCTCTCACTGTGTTGTAAAAGTTCTTTATATATTCTGGAGACAAGTCCCTTGTTGCAGATAAACTTTCATAAAAATGTTCTGTATGATGTTAAGATAACCACACCATTTTCTTTTGGTTCCTATTTGACTAGCACGATTTTCCCACCATTTCACATTCAACCTTCTAAGTGTTGGGTATGTCTCTTATAAACAGCAAGTACTGGCGGCGCCTGGGTGGCTCAGTCGGTTAAGTGTCTGCTTTCAGCTCAGGTCATGATCCCAGGGTCCTGGGATCAGGCCCCACGTTGAGCTCCCTGCTCAGCGGGGAGCCTGCTTGTCCCTCTCTCCCTGCCCCTCCCCCTGCTCATGCTCTCTCTAATAAATAAATAAAATCTTAAAAAATAAAACAGCAAGTACTGGGATTTTAAATGACAAGTTATATCACAATTATGATTACTGACATATTTCTATATGTGTCTGTCACTATAATTTGTGATAATTTACCATGCTAATCATTTTGTTCCTTTCTCTCCACTCTTTTCCTGCCTTCTTTTAGTGTTACAGAATGTTTTACATTTTCTTTTCCCACTCTACTTTTAGTAGCTATCCTTAAAATTTTTACATTCACACTTAAGGTTTTTTCCTAATCCAGTTAAAAGTTATTTGGTATTTCTATTCTCTAATTCCAAGACTGTATCACATGTTACTTATTGAACATACCACTACATCTTAAGTATCATTTTGAGCTTTAAGAGTTTATATTTAAAATATTAAAAAAATTTAAACTTTTTACAATCAATATTAACTTTACCATCATATTTATCAATGTCTGCACTCATTGTTTCTTATTTCTTACAACTTCCCTTTGAATTTCCTTTCCTGTGTTGCATTCTTTTCTCTTTTTCTTTTTTTGGGGGGTAGGGGGTATCATTTTCTTTTAACCTATTTTCTTCATTCTGTCCTTCAGCCTCCAAGACCAAAACCAAGTCTCACATCAGTAAGTGGTAGGTTCCTGCCCCCTGGTTGATACTGGAGTATGCACATTCATTCAGTGGGGACTTCTTCACTTCCTCGTCACAGGCCACATAACTGGTTCCTTCCACCTTTTTAGGACCACAGCGAGAACAAGATTTGGTTCCAGTCAGTGGTTAACAGCTGTTTTGGGCTGGTTGGGCTTTTTTTTCTTTCCAGCTTTCCTTCAGGAGCAGAGTACCACTCATCTCCTGCTTCAAGGAATAAGCCTGGGCCAGGTTCTTCTCATGAGCAGAGGACTTTTAAACCCAAATACTTACAGGAGCTGAACTCCTGGGCTGCCACGACCTTTCAGGCCCAGAACCCAGCAGGCCCTCAGATTCAGACCTGCTCACCACATATACTTCTAGTCTACATTCCATAGCCCAGCTATGTCTTTTTATATATTTACCTTTCAAATATATCTATTTTATCGATATTGCTGTGCATCTGGACCAGATTGGACATCTCAAAGCATGAATTCACTAAGTCATTTTGTCTGGAAGTTCTCTAAAATTCCAACTGTTTTACTGATATTCAAGATGGAAAATAAACAAAATGACGTATAGCTTCATATAAATATTAACATATCTGTTTTCAGTCATTTGTCAGTTTGTTTGACAGACTTGCAACTGAACTCCCTGCCTAGGATGGGGAATTTTCTAGCACAGACCAGAAGTGGTATGCCTCCACCCCCTTGCTGCTGGAAAGGAGCTTGTGACCACCCCCGACTCTGAATTTTAGTCAAATGGGGAAAAAGGAGAAACTGGAAAGAATCTGTTTTGGGGATGGATGTGGCAGGAGGCTGCAAGTGGCAGCATTCTCTGTCTACTCGGGTGTTATGGGTGCCTAGCAGTGGAGACCAGGGCACCATCAACAAATGGGTGCTGCAGCAGAATTTGGGGTATGGACAGGCTTTAGGCCTCCCAGAGAACCTGTGATGTAAATAAACCTGTTTTATGCTTAAATTAGTCTGAGTAAGGTGGGGTGCTTGGGTGGTTTGGTCAGTTAAGTGTATGACTCAGTTTCAGCTCAAGTCATGATTTCATGGGTCCTGAGGTTATGAGATCATGAGATTGTGCGATTGAGCCCAGCGTTGGGTTCCAAGCTCAGCAGGGAGTATGCTGTTCTTCTCCCCCTCCCTCTGCCCCTGCCTCCGCTTGCACACTCTCTCTCTCTCAAATAAATAATCTTTAAAAAAAGAAAAATTATCCTGAGGTTTCTTCTGGTTAAACCTAAGAACTCTAAAAAACAAACTTTGTAATACAATCTTTAATAATGCTCATATTGGCTTCTTTAAAAAAGATGTGGGGAAAGTGCTGAAAAGTAAATGTGATTTTTTTTTTTTTAAGATTATTTATTTATTTATTTGAGAGAGAGAGAGAGAGAGAGACACAGCAAGAGAGGGAACACAAGCAGGGGGAGTGGGAGAGGGAGAAGCAGGTTCCCGCTGAGCAGGGAGCCCGAAGCGGGTCTCGATCCCAGGACCCTGGGATCATGACCTGAGCCGAAGGCAGACGCTTAACAACTGAGACACCCAGGCACCCCTGTAAATGGGATTTTAATTTAGAAGATCAAACAAATGAAGAATAATTCATTTTTATGAGTCTTACCTTTCCCCCAACCAGAGGCAGAATGTGCATCTTTCCAGTCTGACAATCTTTCACTGAGGAAACGATGAGGCAGGTGCCACAGAGAACAACTAGGCGTTCAGCCCACTTATGCAGCTGGGTCTTCCCCTTGCGTACATTATAGATGCCAGACAGAAGGATTCGATCCAGATGATCCATCTGGCATGGTTTTTCTAAAAGAAAACAGAACTTCAGAAGTCACCATTCAAGTATATGAGACTCTTGTAAGGAAAAAGAAAGTATTGTGTGTCAACATTCAACTACCTTGTTTACAGATTTAAGTTACCAAGCAATGTAAGTATCACAAAATAAGATCTCAGTTCTAAAATGTTATTCATCACTGAAGTTACACAATGGGAGTACTGTGGATTTTGGGCCAGGGAGCAAGATTTTATTTTGGATGCCATTGTTAATTCTTCTAACACAGTCCTATTTCCCATTTACACAGAGAAAGGCAATCTGGCAAGTCATTAAGATCACAGACTTGGGGCCCAGACATGCACACCTGAGTTTGAATCCTAGTTCTGCCACTTACTTTGTTTCTTTGAACTACTTAATATAATCACTGAGGTTGACTTTCCTCATTTATACAGTTTGGATCTTAATACTACTTATCTTTAGGGTTTTCTTATAAAAAAATCTGGATGATTCATGTAAAGTACTGAGCATGGTTTTAGGTAACAAAAGAAGTACTGAATAAATGACAGCCACTATTGTGATTAGTCTATTCTAGAAGGAAGAAATTAATAAGTATGGGAGCACTCTAGTTCTGTACACATTACTCCATTTTCCTGTTCCTTGGGAGGAAAAGCTTATGGCTGATACTTCAATCAACTGTCCCAATCATGGTGGCAGAAGCTCATGTGTGCATACAAGAGTTTCTTTTTTTTGTACCCTCCCTCCCCATTAGAATCTTTTTAAGGCTGAGATACAGTGCACAAACAGCACATTATGACAGAAGACAGCTTCTGGATCAAAGCACGGTGAAAACCAGACTAACTCTACCCAGAAATGACAGGAGTAGCACTAGTATGAGGCGGTGCAAACAGCAAGAAACTGGGAAGAGAGAAAATTGCATCGTATTTGATATTATTGCAGGACTGATTGTGGAACCTGGGCGTCACGTTGCCCTTTTAACTATGTGTTTCCTACATATGATCTGAGGAAACAGGTTAGATCACTTCACAGCTTTGAGACTCAGCCGCGAACACCAGCTCTGCGGGACAGCCGTCTCTCCTTCTAGCTGAGGCCGACCCTTTCGTCGGTGTTCCAAATTCCACCTTTCTGAGGGAGTTTGGTTCTTCTCTCTCCTAGCTCTTCAACTCCACCCTCCTTATCGTTCCTGTCAAAGCTACAAAAGCATTCGTGTTTTCTCCCATGCCCTCTCAGTCGCAACTGTGGAATTTCTTTAGCTCAGCGCCTCGCCGAAGAGAACGCCCGAGACTTATTACAGTGAAGCAGGGCCTCATCCCAGGACACTGAGAGCATGACCTGAGCAGAAATCACGAGTCAGTTTAAAATGTGGGGCGCTGACACCCACCCACAGAGAGTCTAATCCACAGGGCCTGGGATGGAACACGGGGAAATGTATTTTTAACAACTATTCCAGGTAGTTTAAATGCAGATGGTCCACAAACCCCCATATTTTTAAAAAATTTAAGGTTACCCTTTTGAGGCTCTTTTGTTCTCATTTGTGCCTCTATATTAGCTATCTCCCTGTTACCTCACCTCCTATTTACTCAATTTTCTTCAGTCTGGCTTCCAGCCACCAAACTGCCCTATTCATATGATGATAATGGCCCTCAAGACTTCTATCTCCTGCCCCAATCTTCCCTTGGTTCTAATCTCATATATCTAATTGTCTGCCAGACATGTCCAAGAGATGTCCCCATCCACCTCAAATTTCCAGTATCAGACTAGAAAGAAACTATCTTTATTTGCAAACTATAGGATCTTGTATGTAGAAAATCCTAAGTGAGCCACAAAAAAGACAATTATAACCAATAAATGAGTTCAGCAAAGTTGCGGGATACAAGTTTTGTGTTTTTTTTTTTTACTATATTTAAGATTTATTTATTTTGGGGGCACCTGGGTGGCTCAGGTGGCTAAGCATCTGCCTTCAGCTCAGGTCATGATCCCAGGGTCCTGGGATGGAGCTCCGCATCAGTCTCCCTGCTCAGCAGGGGGTCTGCTTCTCCTTCTCCCTCTGCCTCCCCCCTCCCATGCTCCTGTCTCTGTCTCTCTTTCAAATAAACAAATTCTTAAAAAAAAATAAAGACTTATTTTTATTTGAGAGAGAGAGCAAGAGAAAACACGCAAGTGGGGGAAGGGAAGGGCAGAGGGAAAGAAATCCTCAAGCCGACTCCCTGCTGAGCACAGAGCCCAGTGCAGGGCTTCATTCCAGGACACTGAGATCATGACCTGAGCAGAAATCAAGAGTCAGATGCTTAACCAACTGAGCCACCCAGCCGCCCCAGATACAAAAATTTTTAAAAAATCAACTGTATTTCCATGCGTAAGGAATAAACAATTCAAAATAAAATTAAGAAACTTACTGCATCTAAGATAGCATCAAAAAGAATAAAATGAAAATAGTACAGTGAAAACTATAAAACATAGTTGAAAGAAGTTACAGACCTAAATAAATGGACAACATCCAGGGTTCGTGCGTTAGAAGATTTAATATTGTTAAGATGGCAAAACTCCCTAAATTGATCTACAGCAATGTATTCCCTATCAAAATTCCAGCTGCTTTTGCGGCAAAATTGACAAACTGATCCTAAAATTCATATAGAAAAGTACAGTAGACTCAGAATAGACAAAACAAACTTAAAAAGAACAAAACTGAAATTCCCCAATTTCCAAACTTAATTATAAAGTATGGAGTTGGCATATAGTTTTCAATTCGCAATAATGGCACCTCGGATAAACCTCATTGGCTATGATACTGCCACTGCACAAAGCTTGGAGTTGGCATATAAAGTACAGTACTTGGGGCATCTGGCTGGCTCAGTTGGTACAGCATCTGATTCTTGATCTTGTGGTCATGAGTTCGAGCCCCACATAGGGTGAAGAGATTACTTAAAAAAAAAAAAAAAAAAGTACAGTACTGACGTAAGAATAGACATAGAGCAATGGAACAGAATTCTGAAATAAACCCCTACATTTATGGACAATTGATTTTGAGCAGGGTGCCAAGATACTCACTGGGGAAAGAATAGTCTTGTCAACAAATGGTGTTGAACAGCTGGATAGCCAAAGGCAAAAGAATAAAGTCAGATCCCTAACCTCATACCATATACAAAAATTAATTCAAAATGGATTGCAGACCTAAATGTAAGAACTAAAACTATAAAACTCTGAGAAGAAAACACTGGAATAAATTTTGTGGTCTTAAGTTAGGCAAAGATTTCTTAGGTATCAACACAAAAAGTAAAAGTGACATGGGGCGCCTGGGTGGCTCAGTCGGTGAAGCGTCTGCCTTCGGCTCAGGTCATGATCCCAGGGCCCTGGGATCGCGTCCAGAATCGGACTCCCTGCTCAGTGGGAGTCCCTGCTTCTCCCTCTGCCCACACCCCCACCCCCTGCTCATGTTCTCTCTCTCAAATAGATAAATAAAAACTTTTTAAAAAATAAAGTGACAAAAAAGAAAATACAGAAAAATGGACTTCATCAAAAATAAAAACTTGTTGTGCTTCAACAGATACCATCAAGAAAGTAAAACGATGACTCACAAAATAGGAGAGAATATTTGCAAATCATATACATAAGAGAGTTGTATCCAGAATAAAGAACTGTTACAATTCAGCAATAAAGACAAATAGCACAGTTAAAAAATGGGCACAGAATTTGAATAGGTATTATTTCACAGAAAATATATAAAAGGCCAACAAGCACATGAAAAGATGCTCAATCTCATTAGTTACTAGCAAGATGCAAATCAAAACCACAATGAGATACCAGTTCACATCCCCTAGGATGACCATAATCGAAAACGACAAACACTAATAAGCAATGGCAAAGACGTAAACAAACACTGCTGGTGCGACTATAAAATGGTGCAGCCACGGGCGCCTGGGTGGCTCAGTCGTTAAGCGTCTGCCTTCAGCTCAGGTCATGATCCCAGGGTCATCGAGTCCCACATCGGGCTCCCTGCTCGGCAGGAAGTCTGCTTCTCCCTCTCCCACTGCCCCTGCTTGTGTTCCCTCTCTTGCTGTGTCTCTCTCTGTCAAATAAATAAAATCTTTAAAAATAAATAAATAAATAAATAAATAAATAAATAAATAAATTAAATTAAATAAAATAAAATAAAATGGTGCAGCCACTTTGGAAAACAGTCTGGTAGTTCCTCAAAAGTTTAAACATAGACCCACCAGATGATCCAGCAATTCCACTCCTGCATCTATCTCCAAGAGAAATGAAAACGCATGTCCACACAAAAACTTATACACAAATGTTTGTTCATAGTAGCATTACTCGTCATAGCCAAAAAGCAGAAACAACCAAAATGCCCATCAAATGAGGAATGCATAAGCAAAAGATGGCATTATCTATACAATGGAACACTGTTTGGAGATAAAAAGAAATGAAGTACTGATACCTACTACAACCTGGATGAGCCTTGAAAACATTATGCCACGTATAAGAAGCCATCCACAAAAAACCACATGTATATGATCCCACTTACATGAATTGTTCAGAATAGGCAAATCCATAAAGACAGAAAGCAGATTTGTGGTTGCCAGGTGCTGTGGGAGTGTGGAATGGAGAATGATATTAATGGATATGGGGTCTTTTTTTATGGTGATGAAAATATTCTAAAATTAGACTATGGTGATGTCTGCATAACTCTCTGCACATACTAGAAAGCACTGAATTGTACACTTTTAAAGGGTGAATGTTATGGGATATGAATTATATCTCAATAAAACTGTTATTTTTTTAATCTCATTATTCTCTCCAAACATGCCAATGGCTTCTATATTCCCCACCCTGGTTAACAGTGTCGCCTACTACAAAGTTGGCTAAATTATGTAAAAATGGGACTTCATAATAGTTATCATGTTTTCAAACTGCCTAACAGTCTTTTTAAAAGTTTACATGAAACAGATGTTATATCAATTGATATACAATTCTCTGAGTCTCTTCTTTCTTGGCCTTATTTCTTTGTATT